TTTATATGTTTATATGTTTATATATAATATCATTGCCATATTTTTGGGCTATGAGTCCGTCTGCGCGCTGGTGTTAGTGATATCCGCGCCACTTTACTTCATACCATCATCAGCCAATAGGCACACACGAATTGTTTCTTGCTTTAAACTACTACCAATTGCGACACCCTTACAGCCATTCTCACAACACTCGCCCCAATCAATATGCCCCCTCCCCCTCACTCCCTTGCCTTCGCAGCCAGTTGCGCAACCCCACCAGCAAGCGTGACAGCTCCAACGCCGAAAGCAGCGGACGGGAGAGCACAGCGGAACAGACCAACGACGGCATCAACTCAGTCGACAATGCAGCGCTGTTCTCGTCACTGCTGGACGATGTGAAGTCACTCAGCAAAGCCATGTACGTGCCACCTGCCGATGCCTCGCTGGACTTTGTTTGTTGGTTTGTTTGTTTATTGGGGGGATGGGGTGTGTGTGAATTGCTCTGGTGTACTGTAGTGTGTTGTGTGTTGTGTGTGGTGTGTAGAGAGGTGCTTCAATCGGGGCGTGTGAATTGCTCTGGTGTACTGTAGTGTGTTGTGCGTTGTGTGGTATGTAGAGAGGTGCTTTAATCGGTGCGTGTCGAGGCCTGTGGTACATGTGACGTGTGTGGTGTGGGACGTGGGTGTGACATGGTTGTTCTCGTGGTGTCATGTCATTGGATGAGATGACACCTGTTTGTCAGCGGTCCCCGCAGTAGAGTTTCGCACAGCACCAGAACAAACGAGTATGTATGCGCCTAGTGTGAGATACACCTCAACACCCTCTAACCTACAAATCAACCCATCACTTGAGGTGCCGGTGCTGCCCACTCGGTCATACGCTAAACCTTCTAAAACCTCAACCCTAAAACCCCAACCTAAAACCTCAAACCTCAAACCTAAAACCCGAACCCTGAACCTCAATCCTAAAACCCGAACCCTAAACCTCAACCCTAAAACCCCGTCTTTAAACCTAACTCTCGAACCTCAACCCTAAAATTCCAACCTTAAATCTCAATCCTAAAACTCCAACATTAAACCTCAACCTTATAACCGGCTGTATAGCATATCATAAACTCTGCCACGACCACTTGACGTACACACTGAAGGCCTCTCATTGGCATACGTGTGTAGAGGTAATCTCGGCTAGCATTGGTAGTCGCCTATCTGTTCACCTGTATTTCCGAAGTTAACTCTGAGATGTCGATGATGTTTCTGTGGTGTGTGGTGCATATGTATATGATACTCCGGTTGCTTCTGCGTGAACGGTTGTATGCCTGTGGTATAAACCCTAAACTCTAAACCTTATACCACCACGACTGATACGTCAACTCGTCAACCTAAACCCCACACCCTTGCGCTCTATGTCCGGTGTAGAACGCAGATCAGGTCTGACACGTGATGACACGTGACATGGGATCAACCGCTCCGTCCATAGACCGCAGTACTACTAGTGTGACATACACACGCACACGCTACCACGGGGGTGGCTTGTACATCAGTGTTATGTACAGCACAGCACATGCCGAGCTATCGAATGTGAGCCACCATCCGTATCAACCGGCGAGGCTCTGGATCAATGTTAATGTTAATAGCTGTCACAGTACGGTGTTGTGATTTGCTATGGACTGCTCAGTGCACCATACGTTACTGGAGATGTCACACAGGTGTCGTATCCACCCACACATATAAGCCCGCCCGGTTCGTCGTCGGCATACAACTGTGAGACCACAATGGGGCCTGGCAATAGGGCCAATATAGTCCGATTGGCGCATGTAACAGACCACAATGGGGGCTGGTAATAGGGGCTATATACTCCGATTGGCGTATATAATAGACCACAAGGGCTGGAAATAGGGCCAATATAGTCCGATTGGCGTATGAAACAGACCACAATGGGGGCTCTGGTAATAGGGCCTATATACTCCGATTGGCGTATGTAACGGACCACAATGGGGGCTGGTAATAGGGGCTATATAGTCCGATTGGCGCATGTAACAGACCACAATGGGGGCTGGTACTAGGGGCTATATAGTCCGATTGGCGTATGTAACAGACCACAATGGGGGCTGGTAATATGGCCTGTTTATTCCGACTGGTGACACGCATGTCGTCGTGGGGAATCACATCCATCGCTCATAGCCCATTGGCTCGCGCGGTGCATCGGCCGTAGGCCTTTCAGCAGTGCTCGGTAGCGCAGTCGGGTTTCTAGGGTTGGTGCCCTTTTAGATGTAGCTGACAGTGGCTCAGCTGGGTGGTAGGCTACTAGATGTAATTCATAGAGGTTTCCTACTAAACGCATCTCACGGATCAACCAACGGATGTCTGCAATGGCTACATCTGTGCGTTTACGGGCAAGCTCTATATAGCCAAGGTAAATGGTTAAGCTCTATATAGCCAAGGTAAATGGTTAAGCTCTATATAGCCAAGGCAAATGGTTAAGCTCTATATAGCCAAGGTATATGGTTAAGCTCTATATAGCCAAGGCAAATGGTTAAGCTCTATATAGCCAAGGCAAATGGTTAAGCTCTATATAGCCATGGCAAATGGTTAAGCTCTATATAGCCAAGGCAAATGGTTAAGCTCTGAATCCAACGGAAACGGATAATCTCTCGTGACGATGGCGGATCTCACTGGGCACACACACAGCCGCATCGCAGTCGGTGTTCGTGGATTGGGTTGGGTTGGGTTAGGGTT